AACCAATTTATGTTCCAACTTTGAAGTTGATATCACAAAAACTGTGGCTCCTGTGAGATTTTGTTTGGGCACTATACCAGAAATAACCACTGGGTTACACCCAAACTTGTGTTGAATTCTTTTGATGCAGTTTTCTGTCACAAATCAATCATTTTCTGTCACAATATCACTTCTATTACAAAACAGTTACCAAATATGGAACCTTGACTGTCAGACCTTTCCAACGATATCTGTTTTGTCAAGATTGCAAAAAGATTAGATTTTCGAAAACACAAGCCACAAAATCACAGAGTCTATATATATGTTTTTATATCTTGATTCATACCCTTAAAAGAGCGACGTATCCCCTGACATACAAACATTTAGAGACCGATTACAAAAAATGTATGCATTTAATTCATAAAATTTCAATGTAATCCTAATAAACTAATGCTGAACAACAGCTTTTTAAACAGGTAAGTCTCCTCCAACATGTGTAAATATATGAAATAGATCAACTAGATATATATATATATATATATAGATAGATCAGGATATTTTTTAATAGAACTAACTCCGATTATACTCGTCTGAAAGAAGAAAGTCATATACACCTAGGATGGCTTGAGGGTGAGTAAATCACGGGCTTATTTTCATTTCTGGGTGAACTAACCCTTTCATTTCAATGACATTTCTGGACCTGGAAACCTTTGCAGAATGATATTACCTAATAAAACTCTTGCGCTCAGACAGTGTCTTGAACTATAAACGCATCCAAATTTATTTTCAACATTTTATGAGGTACCATAAAGGCACCACAGACAAGAATGAGCCGTACGATTATGTGGCATTTGACTGTATATTGTAACCTTTAGAAAGAGTGGTTTATGTGATCTCTGTGAGTCAGTCTCTCCGTCCCGTCTGTCTCTGCTTCAGTCTCCATTGGAATACATCACCATGGCAGCCATTTCCAAAATATTTGCTGTAGCAGTGACCTACCCGTACCAGGTGGTGCGCGCTCGCCTGCAGGACCAGCACAACAACTACAACGGCATCGTGGACGTCATCCAGAGGACGTGGAGGTATGAGTCAAACGCTCTTCAGTCTCCATCACTGAGCATTCAGAGATCAGAGATCAAAACAAAACAGTGAAAAAAGTGAATCAGTCGTGAATCAAAATGATTCATTTGGATTCCTTTATAGAAGTCCTTTTTTAGAATTATTTGTTTTTTCTTTTTTGAGTTTATCGCTGTTTTCACTTAATTAACTGGATTAGTATATAAGTTGTATTTAATGTAGATATACACTACCATTCAAAAGTGTTGTCAGACAGTTAGAGTCTCTTAAGGCTGCATTTATTTGATCAGAAATACAGTAATATTGTGACATATTATAATTTAAATTTCAAATGAACAGCATTTGTTTGAAATAGAACTCTTTTGTAACATTATAAATGTCTTTACTGTCATTTTTGATCAAGTTAATGCATCTTTGTTGTTTAAAACAAATAATTTCTTACAAAAAATACTAACCCTAAACTTTTGAATGCTAATGTGTTTGTCTCATTGTTTTTATGTTCAATTAATATTGCTTTGTAAATATGAATAATAATGAATAAATATGAATAACAATAATAATTACTAAATATTAATGGAGTCAGTGACTTATAAGAGTATATATAATAAAGAAACAAATATGGTAAAGAAAATCGACGAGAAAAACCTTTAAAAATCTAGTTTAAAATAGATGCGTTCTTCTTAGAAATGTATTCTTTAATTAATGATAATTTAACATGGTTTAAAAAAAAAATTTAATTTTAAAACTAAAACTTAAAAAAAATCACAAACAAAGATGAAACGAAAATGATAAAGAAAATCTACGAGAAAAACCTTTAAAAATCTAGTTTAAAATAGATGCGTTCTTAGAAATGTATTCTTTGTTAATTAATGATAATTTAACATGGTTTAAAAAAAATATTTTCATTTTAATAACATGGTTTAAAAAAAAACTTTAATTTTAAAACTAAAACTTAAAAAAAATCACAAACAAAGATGAAACGAAAATGATAAAGAAAATCTACGAGAAAAACCTTTAAAAATCTAGTTTAAAATAGATGCGTTCTTAGAAATGTATTCTTTGTTAATTAATGATAATTTAACATGGTTTAAAAAAAATATTTTCATTTTAAAACTAAAACTTAAAAAAAAATTGATTGATTTCACCTTGATTTGGCTTTTGGTAAAATGTTGGGCTTTTGGTAAAATAATAATAATAAATATAATAATATAAATAATAATAATAATAAAAAATATTTTTTACTAAATAATAATGAATGATTATCCCAAAATACTTAAAGGTTTTCTTGTCAAGATTTTTATTCATTTAAATGATTTTTCTTCATTATAATGTCATGACAGTTGAATCACCCTGTCATTTTTCATGTTATGCATAACAACATTCTTTTAACCATTCTTAAACCTTATGATACCTTATTTTTTAAAGATATTGTCCTCTTAAACCATTTGTAGCTATGTTTTGTTAGCAGCTCTTCATATAGATTGGAGAGGCACTGCCAGGAATACTGTGACTCATCTGACTGTACATCAGCTCAGTATGTTTGTGTTTGGCTCTCTCTAGCAACGAGGGGATCGAGGGCTTTTACAAAGGCATGGTCCCAAACCTGGTGCGAGTCATTCCAGCGTGCTGCATCACATTTTTGGTGTTCGAAAATGTGTCGCGCTTACTTTTGGGCGAGTATCACTAAAGCTTCAGGTGCACTCGCACCAAACGCAACCACGGACCAACTCAACGCAATATACCAGGACTGTGTGTGTGTGTGTGCGTGCGTGCGTGCGTGCGTGCGTGCGTGCGTGCGTGCGTGCGTGCGTTGTGTTAGAGACGAGCAGGAATACCAAACATTTCCTTTTTAACTCTGAACTCGACATGAATACAGACAAAACTAGCATTTAGTGTGTGCACTGAATGAACAAAAGAAACTACACGTTCATATATATATATATATATGTTTATTGAGAGAATATCCATACTGTCTTGAATATTCAACTACGAAAAGGTGTCATTTCAAGTTGTCAATGACAAGAAACGGCTCGTGGAAAAGTGGATTCAAGCCATCCTGTGACAATGCAACCGAACACAGTATTCACCAAACACAGTGCATAAGAAGATGTTTGTCTTTTTTTACGATATTTTCACCAAACAGCTGCTATATTTGCTGAGCTAGGCGAGAGAAAGCCACTCAGCAGATCTCTTCAGCATGCTCAGGAAATGATGTCACGCTGCAGGATAATAGCACACAGGCCTGGAGAAACCGATACTTTACTGGAGGACAGGAGCAGATTTTAAGCAGATGTGTGTGGATGACATCTACTGGAAGAGAGGAAAGATGGAAAGCTTTAACTGAGTAACTGAGAGGCTGTTATGTTTGTATATATGAATGTGCTATTGTCAGTGACGCACAAAGAAGAGCTGATGTACGTATAAGCCATTTTTACACATACAATAAAGGAATATATGTAACAGACACAGACTATGTTTTTAATAATGACTGACAGAAGCCCGATAAACCATTTCACTTCTGAACGGTTCGGACTTTTCACTGCATCAGATACAGTTAATCACATCACTGGCAGTTTACACTCCCATGCTGAGATTTTGTGCACTTAATTGTATTGAATGTGCTTTGTAGTGTACTATCTGCACTTGAAGATAATATAATATAAAATAAAATAAATGGCCATTTAAGTGTGCTTAAAGACTTTAATCATGGTTTTTAACTAGTGCTGTCAAATGATTAATCGCGATTAATCACATCCAAAATAACGGTTTTGTTTACATAATATATGTGTGTGTGTGTGTGTGTGTACTGTATATTTATTATATATATATATATATAAATACACACACATGCATGTATATATTTCAGAAAAATGTTGTTTATACCGTATATTAAATATATTTATATATAATATAAATTATATAAATATATACATGTACATATTTTCAAAATATATACTGTATGAGTGTGTATTTATATATACATAATAAATATACACAGTACACACTTATTATGTACACAAAAACTTTTATTTTGGATGCGATTAATCGTTTTACAGCGCTATTTTTAACACACTTAAGTAGACTTTCAAAAAATGCACTTTGTAATGTTAAAAGTTTTACTTTAAAATACATTTTAAGTCATGCTTTAATCTTTTGTCATGCTTTAAAGTAGTACACTTATTTTGATGTGTTGACTAACATACTAAAGCACATGTAAATTACTTGATTATAGTTTATACTGTAGCGTGTAGCAGTATTACATTTAAAGTTCATATATTTTTATCATTTCAAATGTGTAATTACACATTAAATTAAATATTAAATACATGACATACAAGTTTCAATAGAAATGACATTAAAGTACATTTTAGTTAATCATAAATGCTTGTCAGTACATTTGGTAGCATACTTTAACCATATTTAAATTACAATATAATTATGAATTACATAAATGTACTTAAGTCCTACTTACAATGTGTGTTAAAATCACTAACGTTCAGGTAACTGCATTTAATAATATAAACTATAATACATTTTCATTTAGTTGTAAATAGCATGCAATTAATAACTATTAAAACCATGTTAAAATGCACTTCTTTTCACAATGTGATTCTCAGACCTGCATGATTTTTTAATCATTGGGTGATTGGGGATATAACAGCATTTTTTGTTATTTAATGCAGTGATATTCCAACATATGACTTATATGTACTTATATGGGCCAGTGTGTCTTAACCTGTAGTAACGGGAATCTGAACACTCAGCAGCAGCTGTGAAACTACTTCAGTACCACAGACATTCCACGCCTTAGTCATGCTGCACACACTTCAGCCCGCTGCGTTTTCCATCTACACCCCATTTATGATGCTGGTACTTTTGGCTTTTTTGCATCAGCTTTTTAAGCTAATTACCAAGACTTTGGTTTAAATTAAAATAGGCCTTTTTAATATGTATAAAAGTGTTCTATTTTATTTTTTTATTTTTTTTCAAAACATTTAGAATTTAAGCAAAAAAGCATGAGTTCTAAAAATGGCCAGGGACATCTCCAGACAACCGGATATAATCATGTAGAAAAATGTGTATATGGTATAATATCTATCTATGGAATAAAGGGGGGAATGTCCTAAAGTAATGCCTGTCATATTTCAACCA